AATTATTAATATTAAGGCTTATAAAAGTTGTTTTCTAAAATTTGTATCTTCTTAGACTACATAATGGGTCAATTTCTTTATATTTGCTAGAATATTTAATCCTTACAATTATACCACAAAAATGTTTTTCTACTTTTAGTAATTTTTATTGTTATTGTTTATGTATTTATTCTTGCAAACATTCTTACCAAAAGGATGAATCTTCATTATTAAGAATAAGGAGGTTTCTTAGATTTCTCCACTTGAATCATAATGGAGTATTCTAATGATAGTTTCAAGAAGGAACATAGAAATTTGAAATAAACCTCTTTTCAATTTTTCATTCTTTTGCTATTTCAGTCTGTTTTTTATTAAGTATCGTTTTCAATTTATTTTACTTATTTTTTTTCAAATATTTGAAATGTTTCTTTTTCAAGAGTTTGATACAAGGGAAACTTTCAAATCTTTATATATAACACCACTCTTCATGTTTCTTTATGAGACATTTCGTCTCAAACTTATAATTTTCTCTCAATCTATAGATTACAGCACTCTTTCCTTTTAAAAGGTGTCTTACAGTCTATAGAAGTTTTCTTCAGATAATATTTTTTATTTTCCAAAATTAGGTCTCTTCTTAGAAGAAATCAGTTAAAAAATTTCAAATAGAACCATGACCTTATATATTTGTTTCTTTCTTCTCCACTAGTGATTGATAAAAAATTAGATTAATACCCAATTAGAGACCTATAATTTTTATTGATTCTTTGGGAAATGATTTAATTTTAAAGAAAATTCTTATATTTTATTAAAATTATTCTAAAGCACAGTAAATAATTTCATAAAATTTAATTTAGTAGTTATTAATTGTATTTTCAATAATTATAACTTTGTTCGCAAAGATCTCTTTTACATATCAATACCTATTATATATAATTATTGTAATATATATTACAGCTATCAGAGCAAATAAAACTAAAATATTGAAAAGTACTCTTGTTTGAAATTCTTACAATTTACTTGTACATTTCAAGCTAGTCATTGCATTTAATAGAATTTACTCTAGAAAAGGAAATGGTTATAATGTAAGAGTATTATATAAGTAATACATGTGATCGATCGTGACAAATTCTTTAATTTAGTACTTTTAATTTATGCTTATAGACTATTAGAAAAACATAATATGAAGAAAGTGTGCGCAAATTAGTTATTAGTTATCATCATTTAACTTCTGATATATCTAAATTTTTATGAAATATGTCAAAAAGATTAAGTATGTTTTAGGGAGTAAGAGCTTTTAATGTATATTTTAAAAGCAGATTTTTAAAACTGACAATAACTAAAATGCTATTTTAATTTCTCAAATGAATTTTATATTAGCCCTTCCAAAAAATATGATAATAAAGGGAGCACTAGCTGAGAAAAGAATTTAGTAACTTTAATATTTCAAAAACAGAAAAGGATATTTAAATTATAAAATGAGAATTTACCTTTTATTATTAAAAATATTAATAATATGCGATAGGCATGGTTAAATTAAAATTATTTGTTTAAATCTGCCAAAACAATTGTTATTATTTCTACTCTATCTCAAGCAACATTCTTGTTCTAAATGAAATAGAATGCAGTTCAATTCTATTTTATGATATTTTTCTAATATAAAGTTTAGAATTGGAAAACTTGGCTTTATAAGTATAAATTATAAAAAATGCCCCTCTAAGGAGAGGAGCTGATTAAAAATCAAATTTTGAGTATAAACAAGTTATTACTTATAAGGATAATAAAGTATGTTATAATTTGATGTAAGAGAGCAAATTACCAAAAGGATTTATAAGCTAAAATTGATAACATTAATTTTCTACCCAAATAAAAAAATTATTAGTAACAAAACTTTCAAAATAACACTTTTTTCAAGTATCCAAACCTTTAATTTTGTTTATGTTGACTACAATAATTTAATTTGAATAATGAAAATATTGTTATGACTAATTATAATGTTTATTTTGCATAGAATTTTATTTATTTGAAATAAAATCTTCTCAAAAATGATGTTATTCAAATGTTCTATTGCAAAAAGTTTAAACCCTTTAACTTCAAGACTTGAACAAAGCGTAAGGAGAAATGCCTTTTTTCGATTCATATACCTTAGTATATGAAGTTTAGGAAACTAATGTCTAGAATAGATTGGTAATTTAGATAATCTTAAATACAAACTAGATGTAAATTCATTAGAGAAGCAGGTTATAAAGAAACTATTCATGAACTTTCGATTCTAGATTAAAGAAAATATACTCATGGTGTTAATTTAGGAAAGCATATTTATTACTATGACACAGATGACAAGTAAGAATTCAGTTTTCTTTTTTCAAAGTTGTTCATACTTTAAGAAATTATTAAAGGAAAAGAAAAAAATTTTAATTATTTTATTAGATGATATATAAACTTGACTAAAAGGACTTGATTTCTATGGTTTACTAATAAGATGAGATTTT